CCAACAGATGCGAAGGCTAATAATTATGCAACCTTACTAGATTCATGGGAGACTGATAACTCCAAGATCATTACTTGGATTAATGATTCTGTTATCCAGTCTATTGGTACTCAATTGGCGAAGTATGACATAACAAAGGAGGTTTGGGATCACTTGGCTAGGCTGTATACTCAGTCTAACTTTGCAAAGCAGTATCAGTTAGAGTTTGATATTCGAGCCCTCCAACAAAACAATCTCAGTGTTCAAGAATTTTATGTAGCTATGTCGGATTTGTGGGATCAGTTGGCTCTTACAGAACCTGATGTGTTGAGGGCTTTTAAGGCTTATATTGATAGAAGGGAGGAGCAATGTATGGTTCACTTTTTGATGGCATTATGTTCAGATTTTGAAGGCTTGTGCGGATCAATATTGCATCGCACACCTCTTCCCACTATTGATTCGGTTGTTCATGAGTTGATTGTTGAAGAAACTCGTATCAAGTCCCATGATGACAAAGGTCTTAAGACAGCCACTCCTGCTATCTTTGCTGTTCTACAACGACCTCAGTCAATCCAGAATCGTCCTAAAGTTGCATTTGATAAGTGTGCTTTTTGTAAGAAGAAGAATTATTGGAAGGAAAATTGTCCTTTGCTGACAACCAAGGGAAATCAGCAGCAACAACAAACAAGATCACCAGCACAGTCTCAGCCTTCATAACAAAACAGGTCTTCTGGATAGTCACGTCCCTCATTTCCATCTTTTAGGCCACCACTTTATGCTGCTATACCTTCAATTGAGAATGGAACATATTTCACACCACCATAAGCCTTGAATCCACAGATTGTTGATCAGTTCAGACAGTTCTTAGCTGCCAATCCAACTGCCATGTCGGCTTCCATGTCTCATTCAGGTATGTCGTCATCCAGCACGTCAGGTATTCCTTCATCCTTGTGGATATTGGATTATGGTGCATCTCAAAGCATGTCACCATAATTATCATCTTTTGCTTCATTATCTTCTCGTATACCTGTCTCTATTATGTTTACTAGTGCCACACCCATGTCAGTAGAGGGTGTTGGTTCTATTGTCACTCCTTGTATATATTTAACAGATGTGTACTACATTCCCACACTTGCTTTGAATCTTGCATTGGTCAGCCAGTTATCTAAATCTGGTTGTTGGGTCTTCTTTTTTGATTCATTATGTTGTGTACAGGACATTCGGTCTTGGAGGATGATTGGGATAGGCTGTAGAATTGGGGAGCTCTATATTTTGGAGTAGCTACATGTTGCTGATGTTGATGCATCTAGTGTTGATTTGTCATCTTTTCGTTTAAACCCTTTGTCGTTTGTTTTTTATATTTGGCATTCTCGTTTGGGACGTGTGTCAGTGTCTCGTTTACAGTTTTTAGTTTCCACTAGTGTGTTAGGCTCTTTGAAAACTGATGATATTTCTGATTGTTGTGGTTGAAACTAGGAAAATTTTCTGCTTTACCTTTTTAATAAAAGTGGCACTCGTTCTGTTGCTTCCTTTGATATTGTGCATTCTACCGTGTAGGCTCCCTCTCCAATCACCTCTAAATTGGGATCTAACTATTATGTTTCATTCATTGATGATTACACTTGTTATACGTAGGTTTATTTAATTAAGAGCAAGTTTGACCTTTTCACCATATATAGTGAATTCGGAGCTCTTGTCAAGACTCAACACTCTGTTTTCATAAAATGTTTTCGGTGTGATTTGGGAGGAGAATTTACCTCCAATGACTTTAAGCAATTATTGGCATCTGAGGGAACTATACATTAATCATCTTGTACAGACACTCTTCAGCAGAATGGTATTGTAGAAAGAAAACATCGACATCTCCTAGAAACTGCCAGATCCTTATTACTTTCTACTCAAGTTCCCAATATGTTTTGGGGAGAAGTTGTTCATACTGCCACTTATGTTATTAATCACATTCCTACTGTGTACACTTCGGGGAAGTCTCCTTATAAAATTTTGTTTGGATAACTTTCAGATTATTCTTCATTATGAGTGTTTGGGTGTACATGTTTTGTCTTGAAGCCTCATGTAGAGAGAGATAAGTTGTCTTCAACATCAACTCTTTGTGTTTTTCTGGGATATGGTATTGCTCCCTTAGATATTGTGCATTCTACCGTGTAGGCTCCCTCTCCGATCACCACTAAAGCGGGGTCTAACTATTATGTTTCATTCATTGATGATTACACTTGTTATACGTGGGTTTATTTAATTAAGAGCAAGTTTGACTTTTTCACCATATATAGTGAATTTAGAGCTCTTGTCAACACTCACCACTCTGCTGTCATAAAATGTTTTCGGTGTGATTTGGGAGGAGAATTTACCTCCAATGACTTTAAGCAATTATTGGCATCTGATGGCACTATACATCAATCATCTTGTACAGAAACTCCTCAGCAGAATGGTATTGTAGAAAGAAAACATCGACATCTCCTAGAAACTGCCAAATCCTTATTACTTTCTACTCAAGTTCCTAATATGTTTTGGGGAGAAGTTGTTCATACTGCCACTTATGTTATTAATCACATTCCTGCTGCGTACACTTCAGGGAAGTCTCCTTATGAAATGTTGTTTGGATAACTTTCAGATTATTCTTCATTACGAGTGTTTGGGTATACATGTTTTGTCTTGAAGCCTCATGTAGAGAGAGATAAGTTGTCTTCAAAATCAACTCTTTGGGTTTTTCTGGGATATGGTATTGGTTAGAAAGGTTATTGGTGCTATGATCCTTCAAATCAGAAATTGTATGTCTCTCGCAATGTCACCTTTTTGGAGCATATTCCATTCTATAACATTCCTATTTTATCACATGATGAAACCTGAGAGGAGCTTCATACTATTGATCCATTTAACATTTAAAATGATGATCCACCACATGTCACTGATCCACCACCTGTTGCTGATCCACCACCTGTCGCTGATCCTCTGCCTGCAGATCATCAAAACCCCCTCCATTGAGACCTTATCGTAATAAGAAATCCAAAAAGCTTCCTGACTTTGTCTATTCCTTTTACTCACTGGTGTTTGCCTCCTTTATTGCTAATATACATCGTCTCTATGAGCCAACATCCTACCAAGAGGCCATTTCTAATCCCCTTTGGTAGACTTCTATGGCTAATGAAGTTGCAACTCCTTATCAGACTCATACATGGGATCTAGTTCTGCTTCCACCAGGAAATCCCATGCGTGTGTACGGATCAAGCCGGTGCCTTCCCACGGTCGTCACTAGTACCTGAAACAAATAACACCAAACACTGTAAGCACAAAGCTTAGTGAGTTCCCCAAAATACCACATATAACACATATTAGCCACTCGAGGCTATATCTCTGTGGGTCCGTGCACCCAAACTCTATGAACCCTCAGGTTCTAACTCTATAAACATGCACAACATAAATCACAAAGAATAATGTAGCGCAACACATAACATATAAATATAGCATACAAGCACTGTATCACATAACTCTATTCACCTACTCAAGGTAAAGTATAGTGAGAAGACTCACCTCGCGTGTCTCGGTAGTTCGTGAATCCCTGAAATCACTAGTGCTCGATCTCCCGAGCTATAGTCCTCCTATAACACAGTACATCTCTAATTAACACTTTCCCAACTAAGGTTGACTATCCCAAAACAAGTCAACATAGGTCAACACTGGTCAATGGTCAATGGTCAACTTTGACCGGACTCGGCGAGTGCACTATAACGACTCAGCGAGTCTAAGCGCATACACTGATTTCCCTGGAATCCTCACTTGACACGTCGAGTATTCTCCTAACTCGACGAGTTCCACCTAGAGTTGTGGGGCCTCCACGACTCAACTTGCCGAGTCTCAAGAACAACTCGGCGAGTCCCAGCTTGACTCAGTCCACCTGTCAACCCACTCTGACTATCCCTGACTCACTGAGTCAATCCCCCAACTCGGCAAGACCACTCGCTGAGTGGTGCTGGGTAATCTTCATGCTACTCGTCGAGTCTGCTCTTCGGACTCGGCGAGTCCATGCCATGCAACGACTCAAACTCACTCCTAAGGTCAGATATGTTCCACTAACTCATAGATCCAGTCCTTCCAAGCTTATTTATCACGTAAAGTCGCTATCTTGATGTACATACAACCTCTATATGGCCATATATGATGATTTAGCCACAAATACCACAACTCAAGGTCATAACCTCCATTGTTCTTCATAAAGCTTGATGAATGAGGCTCTCTGGACCTCTATGGATCCAGATCCAAAGCCTCATCACTAGCAAGGGACTATTTGGGCATCAAATCAATCCAACAAAGGCCACAAGAAACCCTAAATCTAATTATACTTCATAAAACAGAAGATGAGCTGAAACAATACCTCAAGTTCGATGATCTAAGCTTCAAATCCACAGTATAGCAACCTCCTTTGCTTCCTCTTGGCTAGTTACTCCTTCTTCTTTGCTAAACAACACCACAAAGGTCAAGAATGGCTTCCTTTCTCTCTCAAAACGTTCAAGCACTCTAGGGTTTCTCTCTATGGACTGGTGAGCACAAATGACGACCATAAGGCCCTTTAAATAGGTCTCAAACCCTGGGAATTAGGGTTTCATTACACAACGTGGACTCGCCGAGTCCAGACGCGAACCCGCGTCCAAAATCGTGATCCTACTCGACAAGTTCGAGCTCCAACTCGCCGAGTCCACTCACAATTCTCAAAAATGCACCAATAATAAATACCTGGAAATTCCGGGCTGTTACATTCTTCTTCTTCTTCTTTATCTTCACTGATTCCTTAATTTTTCCTGTATCACCTACAATTTCTTCATTTTTAAGATTGTTAGATTGCATACTTTACCGTATTCCCTGCATTTAAACTATGCTTGCTTATAACAACTTTGATTATTTTCTCTGAATTGAATAGAAATTTTTGTTCTGTGATGACTTATGATGAATCACTTGATGTTTTTTCCATGGATATCTAAAAAAATGTTTTCGTTTTCTTGTTATCTTAAATGTCTGCAGTGTGCATAGCTAACCTAGAGCAAGCATTAAACATTTTCATGGAAATTGGAAGACTCAGCATGGCTGCCAGATATTGCAAGGTACATACATCATAGGATTATCATTTATTTTAGTTTTTTATTTATTAATTTTAATTTAGTTTTTATATAATTTGGTTTCACTATGTAGGAAATTAATGAGTTATATGAACAGGAGAAAAATTTGGAGCAAGCTATTGCTTACTATAATAAAGCATCTGATCTTTTTTAGGGTGAATAAGTAACAACTTCTGCAAACCAATGCAAGTAGAAAATCTCACAATTTTCAGCTCAATTGCAATAGTAAGTTTCATATATATATTAATACGGGATTAAAATCATGAGTAATAATACCCTGAAAATTTGTTATTACAGATATCAGAAAGCTATTTTTCTAGTACTATCTTTCAGTATCCTTCAAACCAATTGCAGCTATTTGGAAATGGTGAGTTTCCATGATTCTAAGATTAATGAATCACTCTTTACCCTGTGTTATCTGATGTTTGATTTTACATATGGCAGTTCCAGCCATACATCATGTTGATCGAGTAAATTATCCTGGTAGAGAGCATAATAGCCCTGCCTTTCGGCCCAACAAACAATCAAGGGAAGTTGAGACTAATTTAATGTAGAAAAAGCTTCCGATATCACTGAACCAAAATTTTTATAATGAAGAATATGATCACCTGTCAAGCATTCCAAACCCACATACTGTATCCACTAGTTTGAAATTATCATATGATGATGAGGAAAGAAACTCTTTAATCACTTCAGCAAATGGAAGCATGACTGGAGCAGCACCACATATGTCTTCTTTTAGTGATAGTTTCACAACTAAATTTGATCGACAAAATGAAGAACTTTAAAGACACATTATGCTTCAGGTACTAATTTGAGTCTCTATTTATCACTTTAAAGATGTTGAGATCGAAGCCATAAACCATATCCGAGGTTTGTGTTCCATACTCTTTTGTGTTATTGCTTGCATTTAATCAGGTTTTACTTATATATCTTTTTTCATTAACACCTTCATCCCTTAACCAAATTCTATATTTCTTTTTTGTACTTTGAAAAAAATCTACCCGGTGTGTATGTGTGTGTGTGTGTATATATATATATATATGTATATATCTATATCTATATATATATATATATATATATATATATATATATATATATGTTATGGTGTTGGTTGTAATTGAAGATTTTGCAGTTAGTAGAAAGAAGTATCTCAGTTGCAAAGCGTGATTAATGGGGGAACTGGAATTGGAAATCATGAAAATGATGCTTGGGTGGTGGGATTTTCGGGAGGCTTCAGATGGGAAGGGTTTCAAAGATCATTTAGTCCAGTTACTGCTGTTAAACGGATGTCTCAGGTACTTTTTATTGTCACTGATAAAATAAAGTCATAAACTTTTTAATTTTTTGTTTCAGTTGAAAATCACTTTCTTCTATTTGCTTATTACAGTTTCCAACATTCATTTATTGTTTATTCTTAAAAAAATTTCCCAAGTTATTATAATTGAGTAGATTTTTCAAAAGTACACTAAGAAATATATTGAAAATACAGTGTTTGTGATTAAGTGTTATTTCTTATATAGTAGTTGCTTTTTTTGGCATTTGGAATGAAAGATGTTTAGAAGATGTAATTCTAAAAATGTTGAGGTTGTGTGTAATTTCTTTGCAGAAGAAAGAATATGAAGTAGCCCTTGTTGGTGCTTTTAGGAGGGAAAAAGATAAAGACTTGACGTTACAGGTAGTAACCGCTGAAAGCCAGGCTGCCATGAAATTGGTATGTAACTTAACATAGTTGGTTCTAATCCTTTTATTACAAGAAAATGTATATTTTTATGATTTAGTTAGAAGGTTTGTTACTTTATTTTGGGGTATTTGTAGGCGAAACAAAGGGAAGATGAGATACATGGATTGAAATTGAGATTAAGGTTTCGTGAGGCTGCATTAAAGAGGCTTGAGGGTGTGGAAAAAGTGAGAGAAGTTGAAGGAAACCCTAATTTTTCCAACAAGGATGTCGGGTGAACTCAACAACCACCAATGGTTGCAGAAGTGAGTTGAAGAGCTGACATGGAGATTAGACTTTGAAAAGCATTTAAGGGTATATATATATTTTTTTTATATTTCTTATATCTAATTAGTTTGTAAATTTTTGTTACAACTTTTATTGATTTGTTTTATCTTTCCATGGAACGATTATTTGTATGATATTAAATTTATGCAATGGATTCTATTTTTTGTATATGATATTTTATTTTCTATTATGAAACATTAAATACAAATTTAATTTGAAAATATGTAAATCTATAAATAATATATTTTTTGAAACATTTAAAATTATGATACACAAAAATGTGAGTCATCTTCATTTATGACATGGCCTTTCTTGACAAGGGATTTCTTGATACGCACTGCATGTCATTAACACGCGCGTCGTAAGGTTACGACACGCGAATGCGTGTCGTCTTCATTTATGACAGGGCCTTCCTAGATACACATTGCGTGTCGTAAACGTGCATCGTAATTGCGTGTCGTAAACGAGCGTCGTAAATGCGCGTCGTCTCTCTTTATGACAAGGCCTTCCTTGACGCGCATTTGCGCGTCGTCTAAGCCTTTTACGACGCGCAATGAACGTCGTAAAAGGTTGTTTTTCTAGTAGTGCCTTCAACCTAAATGGACAACCTCACAGTCCTACATACTATATAGACCGCACAAAGAACCTTCAGCATGAATGGACCTCCTCACCAGGCCTTCAGCCTATCTGGACCATCCTCCGGGCCGTCGGTCTGACTGTTCTGCCTCACAGGCCTTCATTCTATCTGGGTCGCCCTAAGTTTCTTGGCCTTTAGCACAAAGCAAGACCGTCTCAACCCAACACACCATCGCATATCAACATATATCATATCAACCATAGCTAGCATATACAGACAATCATACAAATCTAACAAATCACTAAGCATAACATCATCCTATATATCAGGGTCTCGACTCTGAATCTATGCTCTCTAACCGACACATATTCCCACCAATTGACCAACTCCATAAAAATCCCAAAATACCTAAAATACCCTCAAGGTCAAACTTGGTCAAAGTCAAAGTTAACTATCCTCACGTTGTGGTCAGGACTTGGTCATGTCGTGATAACGAACCCAATCTGATTCCCACTCGACTTGACCTAAATTGGTCAAATCAGTCAAAGAAACCACCTGAACTGGCGTCATGGCATGAGCACCCATTCTCACATCGTGACCTCCAAAGGTCTTAACAAAAATGGGATTGCTCCACTTCTGACGTCGTAGGATCTCACACCCTATGTCGTGCCACTGTCTCAGGCTAAAAATCACCATTTTAAGTCCGTATTCCATTAAGTCTTCGAGTCCACTTCTTCTAGAAGCTAAAGGGGACCCCTAAGGTCCATAAAAATGTTTTCTTTATCGCCACGCATGCACCAAACATGAGCATCCATTTTCTATGTCAAAAAGGGAAGAAATGGGCTTCAAACTTTAATGCATGCCTCAAATCTGTACCAACTTCTAGATATGAGCACTATGATGTTTTTGCGACTCTTAGAATCCATAAAGTTGCCAACTTTATGGATCGATCTACTCCAATCAATCAAGCAATAACATCAATAAAATGGACAAAACTCAAGATCTACCCATGCTAAGCAATAAAATTGGAGCCTTTGATACTTACAAGGGTCCAAAAGAAAGAAAAGATGATGATGATGATGATTCTTTGCCCACACCAACACTAGAGTACTTCCTTCTTCTTCTTTTCTTCTTCCCACAAGCTAGAAATGCACCAAAATGATAAATCATCTTAAGGAGAGGTAAGATTAGGGTTTCTAGAGCCTTAGAGAGCGATAGAGGCTGAGGGTGAGAAACCTTAGCCCTCTCATTCCCTTAAATACCGAAAACTTAGGATTTTTGGTCGTCAGCTGCCTTCACTTCGTGAGAACTATACTAATCACGTCATGGACTTTTAAATGATCCATGATGCAACATCGGCTCCAACCACTTGCTCTGAGGATGTGCTTCTGTGTCGGAGATGGATCTGTAAGGTCACAACAGACAAGGTTGTTAGAGCTATCCCAGGGACTGTGCCCTGGGAGCAGGCTCCGACGGTCAAGTTAGATCATATAGTAGATTTGAGATGGTCCTCCATAGCTGGAGAGAACCATCTTGGATTTGGTGGTGATGTATGGTTCCTGACGGCTGAGCCACCAGGGTGGAGTATAGTGTGGTGACTAAGCCAAGGGGAAGATCCCCATCCATGGAGGTGATACTAGTCATTATATAGGGGACAATTAGGTCAAGGTGAATTAGGTCAAGACTTGGGCCAACCCAATTTAGGCCCAACTAGCAAGGATCTGGGCGAGGCCCCCCAGAGGCGTCGGGAAAAGCTAGCGGGCGCGCACCAGGCAAGGCTGGCAGGCGTGCACCATGAAAGGCTGGAAAGGGAGGGACATGCTAGGGAGCGCCATGCCAGGCCAGCGGGAGAGTCCCCAACAAGGTTGGCAAGGGAGTCCCCAACAAGGCTGGCAAGGGAGAGCCAGGCAGGGCTGGTGGGAGCGCACCAGGCAAGGCTGGCACGCTAGAGCGAACTAGGCCATGCTAATGGACCATATATCAACAAGTCCCCCCAGTCCGATGTTATTGGTATGCGGCCAATGACATTGGACTGGACTCAGTCATATAAACCATGTGTCATCAAGTCCCCCTAGTCCAATCAGATCAGACTATACAAAGCACCAATATATCAAAGAATGAAAAGAAACAACCGAACCTTTCCTCGGAGAATCATGGCGATGCGCAATGAGTCAGGCATGGGTTGGCTGAATGACCTTTCCTTGTTAGGAGTACAATCCGGTCGATATGATTCAACTTAGTTGTTGTTGCGATCATGTAAAGTGAGGCTGCTGATAATGTTATGCAGAGCGGGGCTGCTATGCGACAATATTGTCAATAGGGCATCGGGCCAAGGTAGTTGAGAAGCATAAGATTGGCTTTTAGTCCCTAAGACTATTATCCGATGCAACCATTGTTGTAGTTATGCACAAACAGAATGTCACCGATAACCATCTACATAGTCTTCTTTGCATGAGAACCCGTAACCATCCTGGAGGTGTTTCCAAAGTACACCATACCTAACTGGATTCCCCCCAGTCTGATGTGGATAATGTTGGTAGATGGATCAGACTATGATGAATAAGATAAGGTTGTTGTAAGGTTGTTGAATATGATATATGTGGCAGAGATTCTGAGATCTAGGCGATTAGGTTGCTAGTGGGGATCACGCGGTGAGACTATTGTCGAGAGCCAGGCAACAGAGGTGCTGATGGATACGTGGCAAGGCAACAGGTAGGGGTTGTGTAGCCAGACCATTTCCGAGAGCCAGGAAACAAAGATGCTGGAAGATAGTAGGTAGGAGGGCCGCTGCCGGGATAACCTTTTTGCTGGAGAGTAACTTCACTATAACAGGATGCAATGTAGAGAATGGTTCATCGATCGTCCGAGCACAAGGGAACCATGATGACTGTGAGAGAGGAAACACTGAGGGTACGATGTTAGGTGTGGAATAGGCTTGTGGTGCATGACTTATGTTTCACGGCTAAGAAGAGTAGCTTTGGCTAGAAGTCAACAATCATGGAGATGTCACACAGGAGAGTATCACGTGGAACATATCGGGCTTAACTGCTCGTAATCATAGATACATCACGCAGGAGAGCATCGCGTGGGATCATGTAGGCCAACGTTGTGAGACTTTGAACCTCATTAGCGGAGCATGCCGCTGATGGAGTCAAGCTGAGAAGCTAGAAGACCCAAGGCGAGAGTGTTAAACCTCACATGCAGAGTTTGCCGCTATAATCAACTCGGGCTGAGAAGCCAGACGACTCAACGCAAGGGTATTGAACCTCGTATGTGGAGATTTCTAAGAAGCCATGCGAATCAAGGCAAGGATGCTGAACCTTGCATGCGGAGCTTGCCGCTGTAACAAAGTCGGACCGAGAAGCCAGCCAACTCAAGGCAATGATATTGAACCTCGCATGCGGAGCTTGACGCTACAATGGAGCTGGGCTGAGAAGCCAGACGACTCAAGGCGAGGGTGTTGAACCTTGCATGTGGAGCTTGCCGCTATAATCGAGTCAGGCTCAGAAGCCAGACGACTCAAGGTGAGGGTCTTGAACGATGCATGCAGAGCTTGCCGCTATAGTGGAGTTGAGCTGAGAAGCCAGACGACTCAAGGCGAGGGTGCTGAACCTCGCATGCGGAGCTTGATGCTATAGTGGAGTCGGGCTGAGAATCTAAACAACCTAAGGAAAGGGTGATGAACCTTGCATGTAGAGCTCGATTCTATAATGGAGTCAGGCTGAGAAGCCAGACGACTCAAGGCGAGGGTGTTGAACCTCGCATGCAGAGCTTGACACTATAATCGAGTCGGGCTGAGAAGCTAGATGACTCAAGGTGAGGTTATTGAACCTCGCAAGCGGAGCTTGCCGCTATAATCGAGTCAGGTTGAGAAGCCAAACGAATCAAGGCGAGGGTGCTGAACCTCGCATACATAGCTTTCCACTGTAGTGGAGTCGGGCTGAGAAGCTAGACGACCCAAGTAGAGGGTGCTAAACCTCGCATGTGGAGCTCGTCACTATAATGGAGTCGGGGCGAGGGTATTGAACCTCGCAGGGTTAAGCACAACAACCCACTATCTATGTGTCCAGCTTGGGTAACTAGTCTGGGTCAAAGTGTAATGGCGTCTGATGCTTCACTGCATCATTAGTTGTAGTGACGATTGATGCATCATCTTCTAATGACTTTGTCAAAAGCCATGCAGCGAGGCTGCTGGGAGCCGAATAGTTGAGATGTTGTCAGGAGGTGTGTAGCAAGACTAGTGTCGAGGGCTGGTCAATAGGGCCACTGAGAACTAAGCATCAAGCTGCTAGTGATAGATAGTAGTATGACCACTAAGGGCCGCGCAACGATACTACTGAGGGTTGAACCACAAGGCTATTCTTTCAATCTGGAATGTTAATGGCACCTCGCGAGTGCACTATCATGCATAGCATCAGCTCTTCCTGTATTTTATCTCTTCCCCTTCGGAATAAAAATCACTTATGCATAGTGTCATTGCAACCCTTCTTCTATCCCCCCCCCCCCTTGTTAGAGGAGGTGAGAAATGGGAATGATGGACGCATAGATTCTGCAAATTGGGCAACACATCTACTGGAAAGAGCTAGGCGATGAAAGCACTGACAAGAGTTAGGTAGCGCGACTATTGAGAGCTGGGTAGCATGACTGCTGGGAGTCACACAACAAAACTGCTGATGTCTGGGCTTTGCGGCTGCTGAGCTGGGTCACATGGCTACTGAGGACCAAGTTGTGCGACCGATGGGATCCAGGCAGCACAGTTGCTAAAAGTTGAGTGGCGAGATTGCATGGAGCTGGTCAACACAGCTGCTAATAGCCGAGCAACACATTTGTTTGAGGGTTATTTCGAATTGCTTTACAAGTAGTAGTAGTAGTAGCGATGTACTACTTACTCTTCTCCCTCCTTTTTTTCTAAAAAAGCTGAGTGATCTAGATCATAATACGTATTTTATTGAGCGGGGGATTGCGGTTCATGAGTGTCAAAAAACTTATTTTGTCTTGCTAGGGTGGCCCATTAAAATTGTAGAGGTAGCCCATGACATATCCAATACAACTTAAGCCCAAAAATAATATGTATTTGCCCACTTGTCGTAGGAAGGGCCCAAAAGAAATTGTTGGAGCCCAATGTTGTTCAGCCCTCACTTGTAGAGTTATAAGTTATGATGTAATTCTTTTTTTATTTATTTTGGGTTGATTCTAAACACGTCGTATGTTGTTCTTTTTCTTTTGTGTAGACAGTTAAGTACTAAGCACATGGCCCAACATGCTTCTATTTTCTTTGTTTGTGAGCCTGAGTCTATACCAAAATAAATATCTCTATTCTCTCTCTCTCTCTCTCTCTCTCTCTCTCTCTCTCTCTTTGCAACAGTTCAACATTGTGGGTGAATAATCTTGAAAGAAACCCAAAATAAATATATGAATCCAAATTATCAGCTCATTTATTCATTAATCAGCCTCGTTGAAAAATAATAGTCCATGTTTAAGGAGTTATGAGCCCAGTTAGGAGATCAGCCCAATATGAAATTATCATCGGTGCCCTAATTCCTTTTCTTTCGTCCGTGTATTGCGTAGATAGGGCTCTATGCGCTTCATGGAGATGGAAAATCGCATATGGAAGAAAGCAGATCACAAACGACCATATCATCGGGGTTCGCTGATTGTAAAGGGTTTAAGACACATCAAAGCTCCTCCTCCCTTTTTTTTGAAAGTTTTATAAAATATACAAGCCTCACAGCTGTGAGTACAAATAGCTGTTAAAATTGGTACAAACACACAAAAACCCTTAGCTAAAAATGGATTTTCTTTTCAATTTGAAAAAACAAAATGATATATGAACTAAAAATATGGGTAGAAACTCAAAAAACTTCTTTTCTTCTGAAACTCTCAATAAACCCCCAAAATAAAAACAAAAATGGATCTAAGAAAATTCTTGCAAACTTGGGGAATATTTGAGTGAAGAAAATCATGTAGATCTAGAGATCTATAAGATTGTTGAAGCAAATTTGGACAGATCTTGAAAAAAACCATGAAGATCTGAACAAATGATGGGGTAAAACACATAGTGAACATCTTCTCTTCTCAATTTTCTGATCAAACCACCAAACTATAAATGAAAAAATAGATCTGAAATATCTTTTCAAGCTCCATGAATGCTCAGATGAGCTAAAAACTTGAACAAATCTTTAGATCGAAATATCTTAACAGAAAAAGTAGATTTAAAGATTTGGGTGAAAATGGAGCAAATCTACAGATTTAATTAAAACAGAGAAGTAAAACTGCAGATCTTGGCAAGGTCCAAACGGATCTAAAGAAGGTTTTTTCCTCACTAAGCTTCTTTACTCTTCAGCTTGCTCAACAACCTATCAAGATGTGAGCAAGAACAAATCTAGAAAAAAAATTGTGTCTCTTCTCTGAGATTCTAAAGAAAGCACCAAAGCAACTTATATAAAGTTGTACACATAGAATTGCAAACTAGTGGTGGTTTCTTGATAAAAACAACTGGTGATATGGTAAAACACCACTAAATTTCCATTTCTTCTTATGTTGCTTGATAAAACACCAAAATAAAAACGAAAATGGGTTAAGAACTCATAAGAGATTCTTTCTTCACTACTTGCTGAAGAACACATCAAAACATAGACGAAAATGAGATTTGATAAAGTCTTTTAAGACTTGAGATTTGCTCAGATGAACTAAAACAAGATGTATCTAGACATCTGAGCAAAAAACAAGGCAAATCTAAAGATCTAAGCGAGAAAACTCAAACAGATCAAAAGATCTGAGCGAAAAAACAAGCAAATCAAAAGATATGTGCATAAAACTAAGCAAATTAAGAGATCTGAACGATGGTTAGACAAATCTGAAAAGATCTTGTCAAGAACCAAATCGATCTGAACAGATCTTGGCCAAATCGATCTGAACGGATCTCCAAGGTCACAACAGATAAGGCCATTAGAGCCGCACCAAGGACTGTGCCTGGGAGCGGGTTTCGAAGTTCAAGTTAGATCATCTAGTAGATCTGAGATGGTCCTCCATAGTTGGAGAGAACCATCTTGGTGCTGGTAGTGGTGTATGGTGGTTGACGGCGGAGGGTGGCGGCTGAGCCGCTCTGCCGGAGTATACTGTGGCGGCTGAGCCAAGGGGAAAATCCCCCTCCATAGAGTAGATACTATTCATTATATAGGGGAAAATTAGGTCAAGGTGAATTAGCTCAATCCTTGGGCCATCCCAATTCAGGCCCAGCTAGCAAGGAGCTGGGTGAGGCCGCCCGAAGGCACCGGGCGAAGCTGGCGGGCACGCACCAGGAAAGGCTGGCAAGGGAGTGCCAGGCTAGGGAGCGCCAAGTCAGGCCGGCAGGAGAGTCCCTAGCAAGGCTAGCAAGGGAGAGCCAGGCATGACTGGCGGGAGCGCACCAGAAAAGCCTGGCACACTAGAGTGGACTAGGTTGTGCTAATGGACCATATGTTAACAATCTATGTGTCCGGATCAGTCCTCACGATGTGAAAAGGAAATATTCACGTCGTGAGTAAGGAAATTACTAAAACTTATAACTTTGAACTATTAAAGACAATACATACCTGATCTGAGTGTTACAATTCTCCCTTACTTGAATCAGACTTCATCCTCGAAGTCAACTGCTATGAACAACTCCGCGTAATGTTCCCGCATCTCATCCTACGACTCCCAGGTCCACTCGGAATCTCTCTGATGTTGTCATTGTTCCTTTACCAAAGGTATCTCCTTGTTGCACATGACTTTCATCTTCCTCTCTAGAATTGCTACCGACCTCTCAACATAGTTCAAGTGCTCATCGACCTGAATATCATTAAAACTGAACCACTACGTCGTTTTCCAATACACAATTCTGCAATTGAGAGACATGGAAAGTGTTGTGAATCTGATTGATATCCTCGGGTAGATCTAACCTGTAAGCAACCTTTCCAACCCAGAAAGGCATAATATACTAGGGACCCAGCTTCCCCCTCTTGTTGAAGCGTGTCACACCTTTCCAAGGTGAGACCTTCAGTAATACCATGTCACCGACCTGAAACTCCAACTCGGATCGGTTCCGGTCGACTTTAAGTTCTCTGCAGTCTCTGCCTGATCTGCTGGATAAGCTTTATTGTCTTCGGTCCTTTCTATAACCCTGTGGCAAACGTCTCCCCAACAAACTGGGGTACGACATCTCCACTCATACTAGAGCTCAAATGTTGGGGCACCAATACTGGAGTAATAACTGTTGTTGTAAGAGAACTCCGCAAGAGGTAGGTAGGAATCCCAACTCCCACCAAAATTAATAACACAGGCCTGCAAGATATCCTCAAGGGTCTTTATCATTCGATCACTCTGGTCGTCGGTCTATAGATGATAAACACTGCTGAAATGCAATCTCGTGCCTAGTTCCTCATGGAAATTCTACTAGAGATTGGAAGTGAACCGAACGTCGTGATCTGAAAAACAATAAAGAACAGAACCCCATGGCGAGCAACGATCTCGTGAACATACACATCAGTCAGCTTGTCGGCTGAAGAACTCTCCCGGATAGTCAAAAACTGAGAAATCTTGGTCAATCGATCCATGATGACCTAGATAGCATCAAAACCCTTTTCCATTTTCGGCAAATTGGTAATAAAATCCATCGAAATCTGCTCCCATTTCCACATGGGAACCTCCAGAGGCTGCAGGTTGCCATGTGGCCTCTGATGCTCAACCTTGATTATCCTGCAGGTTAAGCATCTCTCAACATCCAGACTATCTCCCTCTTCATACATCTCCACCAGTAGCTCAATCTCAAATCCTGATACATCTTGGTGACCCCAAATGAAAAGAAAAACAAGACTTATGAGCCTCCTTTAACACAATCTGTCTGACCCCACCAGAAATTGGAACCCAGATCCGACTATACCGGGTTAACATCC